GAATGAGCTATTTGATGTGAAAAGTGTTTAACAAGTACATCCTACATATTTTCTATATCTTAATGCATACGAGTAAGTTTATCATTAACCTATGTTTATTTATTATAATACTTCTTGCATAATGGAATTAAGTTTGCATTCAAATAATTCTTCAATCAAATTGATAATCACATTAATCAATTCTTCTTTAAATTGCATTTATAAAAATTATTAATGAGTTTTTCTACAACATGTGAATTCGATCACTCTAAAAATATTCATCGTAAATTTAATACTTTACATATCTCATCAAGAAAACATATAGATCCATTAGTAACTACAAAACCATTCGAAACACGTAATCATGGATAACAATTTGAATAACATTTTGCTCATTACTTAAAAGGTGACTTAAATCTATAAAGATTAATTCAAACACTCAATTATCCAAGATTAAATGCTGAACAATAACTCTAACCTAAACATAGAATGACTCTTAAAATACGTCAATAAACTGAATAAAGAAAAAATTATCTAAAAAGTAAAATTGTCAAAGTTCGCAATCTTATCAAAGAGAAAGTAGCAATCAAGAAACCTCATAATGAAGAAATTAGATAAGGCAATGCTTAAACTCTTACTATAGTATAAACTATTTTAGATATTGCTAATCATAAAGAAAATTCTGTTGGTTATTAAGAGAAATTGATACCTAAAACTAAAAACTTAAAATAATATAGACTCAATTATGATAATGTTGAACCAGTTTGTAAATTACAATAATAAGTTATTTAATCAATCCCTCCAAGATCCTATCTTAAATCTGTACTTGAAAATAATGCTTAACTCTATCTCTAAGAATTATAAGATCAAGCTTAATAACATGATAATAATATAAATAAGATTGTACGTCTTAGTATTCAAAATAAAAGAAATGACTTTACTCTATTTCATAAAGCAGCTAAAACCGATCGTAGAAATTAAGATGGAATCTTAACACATGCTGATGTTTAATTGTATGATTATTTATACAACAAACCTAAGGGAGTCATTATATAAAAACATCCTAAATATATTCAAAATGTTATTGATTCAGAAGTTGATTTTAGAAAAAACTTTGGTAGAAAAGTACTTACTCATCGTCACAAAAGAACTCATTATAATTAAGATCCACCTGAAAATCCTGATGATTCTTGTGCTTCTTCTTTATAATCTGCTTGTGAAATTAAATTAGATAATTATTATGCAGAAACCAGAGAATGGAAACGTAAATAATATCTACAATTACCAAGACGTATCAAATAATTGATTGCTTTAGAAGAATTGAATTAGTAATACTCACTTATTCATCTAGGAAAGCCATCCATACGACAGTTAATAAATTAGAATCTTAATGACAATATACATGATGATAATTTAATTTTTAACGTTTAATAAATTATGTTCTTAAAACGTGAAGCTCAACAAAGTTCCAACAAATTCAATTCAAATAGGTAACTATTATGATCTATTCATTCAGAAAAGACACACGTGCATAAGTACCTTCTTTTGAAAATCTTTAAGCAAGAATTAGAGATTTCTCTTACTCACGTCTATCCAATGTTGTTGCCACTTAACCATAAAGAAGTGAACCTACTTATTCCCCTTATAAAGCTTAAGGTCTTTAATAAAAGTATACAATCCATTAACAATTAGAATTACCGATACTTTAGGACCACGAACTAAATCATTCAATAGTGGACATAAGTGGAGAGAATCATTCCAATCTCCTTCCATATCTTCATAATCACCATTTAAATTTGTACAATCTCCACCATAAATCAAATACAGTATAGAAACTGAATCATATACTAAACCATCTGATTCTTTTAAATATGATTCTTTTCGTACTTCATCTGAATAATTGAAAAAAAGATAAGGACGTAGTCTTGCAGATGTTGTTTAATTGAATGAAATTGTGGCACTAAGAAATAAAATTGAATCATCCTATGTTAGCAGAAGTTCATTAACTTCAACTTATGTGAGTGAACTAGTTAAGTTAGCTTAAGCAATAACTACTTCATTAAAAAATGAATGATTATTTTTAATATGCTTTAATAAATATATATATAAGATGATAATCAATTGAAAAATAGGTACAATATTGTAACAAAATAAAAAATAAGGTATTAATTTTAAATTTTTAATGTCTTAACTGTCTTCTGTGGAGAGAACGACAATGATTGAATTGTTTTCAACATTTTTTGATCGCTTAAGTTCTCATAATCCATAGCGTGAACAAATGCTAAAATCATTGTATCAATTTAAAGCATTATTGTATGCTAATGATGCTGGAATTGAAAAATATTTGCATGATCTATAAGGATAGAAATCACCTTTAAAAAGAGATAGTTCATAAACAAAAAAATCAAGCAGCATCAGAAAAGAATAAGAGGCAATATCTCGTCATTTAAAAAGAAAAACATTAGGATGTGGACATGAGATTGAAGCCATGGATTAAAGTGGAGAATGTATAATTTGTTGTGGATAATCAGTAAATTTAATGATGATTAGTAGCCATTTGATGAATTCAAATAGAAATGCTCAAATGTCTTCAGAGCTATATAGTAATTGGATAATGATGACTTTTTCAAATGTTTACAATCATTGGATGTATACTTAAATAATTACCTCAGGATCCATTAATGACATCATTATCTAAACAGAGATGCCAATCATCCACTGGTGAATTATTCAAAGACCCTATGAATTATTCAAGACTAGCTGATTAATAAATTTAATAGATAATAAGAAAATGCCTTCGATGTAATAAAGATGTACAAAACCATGATTCCAAAAATATTAGTTACTTCTGTAATTCTTGTAAAAACTTTTGACTAATTTTTTATTTGTTAGTTACAAAATAAATATTAGAAATCAATTCAATCAGCACAATCATCTATTCCTCCAGGTGATATAGTATATTATTCTTCTGATTCTGGTAAACATGGTGAATCATAAATCTTTACAATCCTATTCTCTCCTCTTCCTTTTCTCAAATACAATCTTGTTGTTGAAGCATGAGCCATAATATTACCACCAATTGGTTTTTTTTAATCACCCATAGCCATCATTGTACCTTCAACAGAACTCATCACTTAATTAGTTATTACAACTGCTATATTAAACTATATATATTAACTATTATAATTACTTCATCTGCTAATCTTTATAAATTCCTTAAGAATTTCCCTAAATGATTTTATCTTGCTGATAACTCTCCTCTTCCTAAATAATCTGTTCTATATAATGCTGTTGCACTATCCACTATCAATAAAGCATATTTATCTGTAGACATTAAATTACATGCTTAAACTAGTAATTTCAATTATTCATCTACATTATAAGCCCTTGCAAATGAAACATTTTCTAAAACTTCTTCTATTCCTAATTCAAATCTCTTTGCAATTTCACTTAATCTCTCTGGTCTAAAAGTTCCTTCTGTATCAATATATAAACATTTCCCTCCAGGTCTACCTTTTCCATCATTCATTTAACAAGTGACTGCTAATGTGTGACATATTTATGATTTTCCTGTTCTAAATTCACCAAATATCTCTGTTATTCCACCAGTTTCTATACCTCCTCTAAGTAATTTATCAAATTTTGTGCTTCCTGTTGATATATGTACTATTCTTTCTCTCTATTTTAAAACATCTGTAGCTGGTTTAAATTAGTTTACTACTAATTTAGCCACAGCCTCAACTAATTTTTCAATCTTGGCATCTGTCATGCCTTTAATATTCATTAAATTCTTTTTTGCTGTATATGCAATTGATTCACATGTTGTAAATCCTGCATCTTTTAATCTCTATATATCTACTGCCCCAAATCCTGGAATTGCTAACTTTTCTAAAGATGTATAAGAAATCACTTCTTCATATTCATCCTCTTCAATCTATTCATTTTGCTATTTTTACATCTTTTATTTTAGTTCAAATTTAAATTATATTTTCTGCCAAAAAATATTTAAATTATATTCTCACAAAATAGAATAAGAGACATAATACTTATTCTCATCACTCTAATTTTGATTAATCAATCCAAATATTTATTAAATTCTTAAATTATATATATATCAAAAAAAATTTATCCATTCTTCTTATGTATATATAATTCTTAAATTTAGATTATTCTTATAAAGATTACATTAGTTATAATCTATTTATATATGTGATATTATGAATTTTAAAATAGATTATTTTTCTTTTAATTTTTTATTAATTATTATGAATTTAGTTTATTTACTGCCTCTTTTATCAAGACCAGATAAACAATCAGCTAAAGATGAATTAAGTAAAGCAATTTTTCATTAAATAAAGATAAAAAGAGTATTAATGAGCTAATCGATTCAATGTATTAATTGTATGATGAAATCGAGAGAGTTAATAAAATTGTATAGCAGCTAAGATCACAACCATAATAATTACAAAAATTAAATGAAGAATTAAATTAAAAATACGATATCCTATTGAAAGATCATCAAACATTATTTCAAAAATATCAACAGTTGTTATCTGATCATCAGGAAGTTGTCGTTAGTTTTGAAAGCATTATAGAAAATTTTAAAAGTTAAACAACTAAAGACTTCATTAAAACTATAAAGAGTAAAAAAAATGTTTTGAATATATGCTAAAATTTAGATTTACATATATCATATCAATAAGAATATTAATAGTAAATAAATGAAATAAATACAAATTTTTAAGAAATTTAATCAGTAGGAAAAAAAATGGTTTAAGCAATTAATAACTTAAATGATGCAGATGAACAACAACTAATGAATAATTATCATTCAGAAGCAGAAGCAGAAGCAAAAAAATAAAAGAGAAATGAATTAATCTCTTAATTATTATTATAAATAAAGTCAATGAAAGAAAAATAAGATAATTAAATCAAATTATTAGATAAAATTTATTAACTTTCTCAAGATGAACTCCTAAAGGATTAGATAAAGAAAGCATTAGATCTTATATAATTGAATTAAGCTCTATTCAAAAATATAGAATTTATCTTACCAACATAACATAATTTAATTAGAAATTATGAATAAAAAGTTGAATTCTATAAAACATAATTGAAAAAAGAAATAAAAATTAAAGAAGAATACTCCAAAAAAATATAAGAATATAAAATCAATTAAGAAAATAGTCGAAGTTAAAATGATACCCAAAAAACTTAAAAAGGTAATTTTTTAAACATTTTTAGAAATCTAATCCTCTAAGTATATAAAATATTTTTATGAAATCTATTTACAATATTTGAAATTAATTCTAAATTTGATTGAGATTTAAAAAGTTAAATAAAAAGAATTATTATAATAAGATGTAGAAAAATTAAAATCATAATTAAATATATAATTTAAAGATATGAAAGAGTTAAAAGATTTGACAGAGAGATTATATGCTGGTGCAATGGTGTTTGCTAATTATATATAACCAGAGGATTAGATTTAGGAAATTTTAAATTGTTGGAAAAATTTTTTTTAAAATTACTGTGAGCTTTTAAAAGTATTATCTGAATGAATTTAAAATTTGTGGATTCATTAAGTATTCTATTAATTATTTCTAATAATATGTTTTATAATTTTAGAATAATAATATATCCTTATATAATTTTAATAATTTTTGATTTCTTTTAGAAATATTATTGCTATATAACTTAGTTGTGAAATAAAGCTAAATTAATATTAAATTAAATAATTCAAATATCATTCAATGATTATCTTAGATATTTTGCAGCAATATTTTTCTTTAGAGCATGACTAGCTCTTAAATCCAATTATTTAGGATTAATTTGTATATTCTATGAAATTGTTAATTAAGTTTAATTTTATGATCTGTTAGCTTGTAATTTTTCTTAAAGATTTTATTTCCAATCAATTTATCTAAAATAGAATGGTGATGATCTATCAAAAATATCAAGATTTCTTCTTAAAATTTAAGGAGAAAAAGTGCATTCTTCCATTTCTTTTTGTAACTTAATAGATTAAGTATCAATTAATTCAGATGATTGCCTTCTCCTACCTAAAGTACTTTTAGACATAGAAGCAATGATTCGAGAATTGTATGTAATTTAAGGTGAAAATGGACATGACTGTTAGAATTAAGCTTCTAATGAATGTATCAATTATTGTTGTTTTTCCTTTTTGTGTTTTAAAAATTATTAGCCTAATTTATACATATCAGTATTTGGCTTGATAAATTTACGGTTAGTACTTGCACTTGTAAGCATTTATAGACAAGATGAAGAAGCAAAATCAGAAGTTGATTATATCTGTTTGTTGAGTTTTTTAGAGTTTATTTTATTCAATGAGGATATAGTATGTTTTTGGTTGAAGTCATTTGGAATGAGATCTATAAATGTTGAAGAATTGTATATATTGATATTCATCAAAGAATAAATAATATATTTAAAATCAATTCAATTTTAATTTTTTTCTTTACTTGTCATATATCTCTTGTTCTAATTCTCCACATACAACTTCTAATTAAGCATTATTTGTCAAGACTTCTTTAACCTTAGCTTTTAAACTATCCAATTTATATTTTACTTCATTCTTAATATGAGGTAAATGTTACTTGTTCGTATTTTCTTTATGCATTAATATGATTTAATTCTTGCTATTAATTTACAACCTCTTTAGATAATCTATTCTTCTCATTTTCTTATGATTTGAGTAATAATGCCCATGATTCTTTACCATATTTATTAAGCAATTCAGAATTGATTATGCTTAAAGAATATATGATCTTAAATTACTTAATTTATGCATATTAATTAAGCACATTCAATTACTAATTGGCCTCTTAAATTTCATGAGTTGATTAAAACTCTTGATTGAAATTTGGTATCTATTCGAAATCAATTTTAGGCATTGGTTGCTATTATTACACTCTTTCCATCTCTGATTTCAATAGATCTGTTAACTTTGTTTAAGGCATTGGCAATTCATGTAAATAATCTTATGGGTCCATGTTTTACATTTCTTATTGAATCATACGATCAACCTTATATAATATAACATTCAATACAATTATTTTAGTTTTAGTGTCTAATTCTCCATCAATATATGGTAAAATATTTACAAAACCTTAGTAGGGGTGTCTGTATACAAGTGGTAATTTTGAAGAAGGTAGAGCAAAACTCATTTTAATATAAATATTGAAATGGATCTATACACAATTCCATGTAAAAAGCTCAATAAAACATCCAAGAATTGGAATCAGACACAATATGATTTCTAAATCTTAGGAAAGGCATCTCCTATAAACAAAAAATAAAGAGAGTAGGCATTTTACTCTACTAGATATCAAACATAAAATGAAAGAAAAAGTAAAGAACAAGGGATAATTTGTGACATATTTGAAAACTCACACATTAACCGAACATTCAATTGTTAGAGTTAAAATAATAACTTTGACAATCCTCATTCAAGATTATTCACTCCAGAAACAAGAGTTTTAAAAAAGCGAAAGAACGGTAAGGTAGTATTTCAACCCATCCCTCGATTTAGTTCTCCTTAAAGAACATATGAATCGCCAGCTGTATTAAATATTACATCATATATGCACAGAAAACCACCTAAAGTGAGAAGAGTGATAAATTTAAATATGTTAAAGGATGGTTGTGAAAAAAAGCCATTTTTTTCAGATAAAGGATAAAATTTATATGAGTTTGTATATAATTATTACTAGTGATTATAAACTTTTATGGGGAATATTTAAATTACTCTAACACTCTGCAGGAAGAGCCCTTAATTTTTGAAGAATTTCTCGATGCATTAAGAAATCTATGGAATTCATCTAAAACAATATTGCCACAAATACTAAAGATTAGGAAGAAAGTATAATAATTAAAAAAAGGTTTAAAATTCTTAACGTTCATCTCCATACCATATTCATGTTTATATAGGATACATATATTCATTTCAGAAATTTTATTGTTCTATCTGATAAACAATAGGAAGATATAAATTTAGTGATAGTCAATAATATTAAGTGAATTAGAATAATAATTAACCCTTGGAAATGATAGAAGAATAACAAATAAATAAATTTGCGTTTGATAAATACTAAAAAAAAATGTCTTCTGTAAAATTACTTTCTAATTAATTAAAAAAAATTACTTATATTATGAGTTTTATTTATTTCAATATTAATAATAATGCTCTTGTTCATTTGATATGAATTTTAATATCAAATGGATTAATAAGGCTTGTTCTAAAATTAGTATTTTCTTTAATGGTTATTATCAATGTTAATAGTTTATTTGGCTCAGATTGATAGCAATATTAAAATAATAATAAATTCTATTATTTCAATTTAGATGTACTATCAATAATAACTTATAACTCAGTATTAAAAGTGAAATACTCGAATATAAATTAACTCCTTTTTAAAATATAAAAGATACATGTATAATTTCATTTGAATTTAATTGAATAAAAAGAAAGCTATAAAAAATGGCGAAATGATTAAAAAAAATCATTTTGTTTACATTTTAAATGAAAATATAAATACAAATATTTATATGAAAATAAATTATAATTATAAAAGTAAATACTAATGAAAAATAAATAAAAACAGTTTTTAATATAGTAATACATATCATTAAATCAATGTTGTTAATTCGTATCTAACAGCTGTTCTACATTTCTCCACTATTTCATCTTCTTGTAATAAAAGATTAGTTTAAACAGATTGTATTTATTCTTTAATCAATGTGATGGTCTCATTAATTTAATCCAACATTGTAAACGTCGTGGAATCTAAATATTAGATATTTAACTTACTAACATTGAGATTGTCTAGATCCAAATTCTTATGACTTTTACTAACACCTGAAAATACAACCATTTTATCATTTTTTTATTTTACTAAAATTAAATCTAAAATTTACTTAAAGTTTTTTGCATTCCATTTTAAATTTGATTTTTAAATTTGTCTTACATAAGTCCCTTATTTTCATTTTCTATATCAAGTTATTTACCTTCCATTTACATTGCCTTTAAATCAAGATTGCTACCTCCTGTTAAATCAGCTGGTAATTAATGAGCTAAAACAAAGACCTTATCCCTATGAGTCAATTTAGTTTCAGATGGTGGATTAGTATAGACATAAGGATGTTTATTATCAACTGCTCCAGCCATTCTATACAATCCCAAAGGAATTAAATGTCTTTCTGTTGATAAGTAATTAAATAATTCTCCAAAAGTTTTATTCTAAAAAGAATCATCAAATAAAAATTTACAAGATAATCTTCTGGGACAGGCACTTAATAAAGATTGGAATCTTTAAGATCAGCATGTTCACAAATAGCTCTTATGACTTAAGTGGACTATCTTTATCCAGTTAAAATTTATTATAAAATAGTCACAATATGTGGATTGAAGTAGGCTTAACAAGTAAGAGTATCAATGATGGCTGATATATAGACTTCTCCAGAAGCCTAGAGTGGAGTCTATAAAATATAAAGATTTAGATAATACAAATTCATATTTGAATTCATTTTAATATTAGTAATCTTTTTCAAGTAGAAATTCTATATTAGAACTATAAACAAGTTCAATCATAATTTAAATTGATGGATTGAGTTTTTTAATGGCCTTATAAATGAATATAGATTCTGCATCATGCATTTCATCTATTGCATCTCCAACTTCATCAATTGATTAATCTGAACCTTAAGCAAAAATAACAGCTTTATCAGCAAAATTAATATTGGCTCTTAGTAATCCATCAGATGTTAGAGGAGATCCTTTGATAAATCTAACTTTAGGAAATCTGTTAATATATTCCCATTATTTTGTAGGTTATTCTGGAGCTAGTATAACAACAAATTGAAGTTCCTTAAGATACTTAGCTCTAAGTGCTAATAGAAAGTAATAAATTGATGGATGGATTCCACAAACAACTATATGATTAGTGATTTCAGTTGAGTCTTATAAGGATGTAGGAGTAACAGTCATTAAAGATATAGGTTCAGGGTCAAGAACATAATCTTATTCTAACATTTCAGCTTCTTCAATAGAATCTTTTCCATAAAGTAGAGGATCATCAAACTTTTCTTCTTCTTCATCATCTGGTAGTTTTTCTTTTTATTTGGATTTTTGCAATAATTAATAATGATAATTGGCAATTTCTTCAGTAGTCATCTCATAAGTAGCTACTTAATCAGCTACCTTCTTGTCTTCACAAATAATATAAGCATGAACATTTGCTTCTGTTGTGTTAGGTATGATGTAACTACCTGGATTCAATCTAATAATAGTATATTTGCCAATATCAAATTCTATGCCAAACAATATACCTTTGAATTCATTATAAACAATAGTGGCTACTTCACTAAAACTTTTGCCTTGAAATTTAAAACTTAGATCAGTTCTATATATTTCATGTCCCATTCCTTTTGTATATTCATTTAACCATTCATATTCCATATCACCTTCTTGTTCTCCTGCAGATGTAATTAGATTGCCTATTAATGCAATTATACCAGGACAGAAACAAGATTTAGCCAAAAGATTCATCTTAAATTCTTCAACTGAGATTATCTAATCAGTTATGACTTTTAAACCTAGGGCTTATCTATAATTCAACTTGCTTTCTGGTTTAATCAATTGCATACATAAACGTATATTACCACCAGTAATATGATTCACATATTTTTTTATTTATAATCCAATTAATATATTCTTATGATCAGAGGATTGACTATTTACTATTTATTTATTTGTCAAAATTACACAAGCCTTAGCTTATGTAGCTGCAGCTCTTTTTAGATCTCTATCAACCATAGGACTGCCTTGTAAATAAGTTAAAAATAATTCATATTTTGGATTATGTAAGAATATCTCCATCTCAGTATTAGGTTTAGTTAATCTCATAATGATAGCATTCTTATCTTGACTACCGTGATCTTAATGAAATAGTTCACTACAAAAATTCCTCAGGGCTGCAACACTCACATGTCCACATATAATGATATGTGGAACTTCTGGATTCCATTTATAGAATGCTCTTGCATATACACTTTATAATCCCATCAATCTAATCAATTCATTCATCTATTTAGGTATTACTACCAAAACAATAATGATCAATACAATAACACAGACTCTACCTTCCTCTGTCTAAGGAGTTACATCTCCATAACCAACTGTGGCTAGTGTTACCACTGTAAAGTACACCATTTCGTGAAAAGTGCATTCATCAATTGATGCACCACATTGATTTTCTTAATCAAGAGCTATAAGTTCTTTTCTTTTTGGAGATTCAAATGCTTACAGAACTCCTGCTGTCACAATAATTAATGTGAGAATTGTCAAAGATATTGTGTAAATTTATTTATTAACACCACCAAATTCATTATCACCAACTTAGTAATACTTAGAAATCGTCTTAACCACTCTTAAAAATCTTATTACTCTTGAGATATTTATCAATCTTGTTAAATAATCCCAATTATCTTATTCTTACAATATAAATAATGGCATCAATGTAAATAATTCTACTGCTGAATTCACTTCTAGTATATATTGCAGTCTGTGTTAAGCAGCAAATGTTTTTAAAAGGTATTCAAATAAATAAAGAGAGCAAACTATGATGTCAATAGTACTCAACCAATCCACATTATTAAAGTAAGTTGTACCCAAATATATCATACAAGATGTTAAACTAATAAATCCAGAAACTATGTCTAAATATCTACCCCATTTCTGACTCAATAGTTTCTCCAAATATAATCTCAGGGTTACTCTATTCTCAAAGTCCTCGACTTCTTACTATTCTTATGAATAATATTATACCTTAATTGGCATAGGAGCAACTTAGCTTAACTTCATTCCTTAAATATTATTATATATAATTAAAATGAAGGGAAAGGTGGCATTATTAATTGATTAGGATTGTGAAGACTTTATCAAAAAAGGAAATACAACTATTGTAATCTAAGAATAAGAGGACTTTCTATTGGAATTGATGGGAATGAAGGAGGGTGGAGTTCATTAGATTCAATAAAATTAATAAAATGATGAAGAAATTCTTGAAGTTAATTTGATCAATGATGCTCAATTTTATTCTTAAATAAGTTATGGTGCTAAAACAGTTGTTATTGGAAAACAATATTAATAATTTTAATTACCAAGTTATGATCAATACTAAGAAAAATTATTTGATAGTTTTGACATTGTTATTGCATTTAAAGATTAAATATAAGTGTTGGAAGAAATATAAAAACAGAAATAACATCATATATATTTCATAATATCCAACATCAAATAATATAATAATGATATTGAATTTCCACTTTAATCAAGAAATCAATTTAAATATTAGTAATTAGAATGTTAAGGAAAATAAATTGCACTTATTCATTATTCAAATTATTAAATGAGAGTAGATGATATTGAAACATTAGAATAAATTAATTAGTTCTCATACATTAGAAGAAATGTGATTAGATTACAATGTCTTTGGAGAGAACTTCTTACTTAAGTGGGCAAATTTCCTAAATATGGTGCATGAGTTAGTAAATCATATAAAACAATTATTTTATTAAAATATTAATTTAATCAATGACAGAAACAATTGAAAACTTAAGGGATTTTAACTATTACAAATTAAACACTAATAAACATGTTTTAGTTGAGTATATTTGGATAGATGGTACTGGAGAGAGATTAAGATCCAAAACTAAAGTTTATAATAATGCAATTTAAAGTTTGGAAGATGTTGAATGGTGGACATTTGATGGTTCATCCACAGATCAAGCAATCACAAAATTTAGTGAGATTTACTTAAAGCCTGTATGTATGGTAAGAGATCCTTTTCGTGGAGATCCTCATAAATTTGTATTATGTGAAACATACAAACCAGATCGTAAAACACCAGCACGTTTTAATTTTAGATGGATTGCTGAAAAAATAATGTAAGAAGCTAGTGATAGTGATCCTTGGTTTGGCATTGAATAAGAATATTTTATGTTAAAAAGAACAGGAACAACCCATTTATGGCCTTTGGGATGGCCAAATGGAGGTTTTCCTTATCCATAAGGAAGATATTATTGTTCAATAGGAGAACGTAATAATTTTGGAAGAGCCTTATCTGAAGCTCATTAACGAGCTTGTCTTTATGCTGGTTTAAAGTTGTCTGGAATTAATTCTGAAGTTGCTCCATCATAATGGGAATTTCAAATTGGAATTGCTCATGGAATAGAGGCAGGAGATCATTTATGGTTGGCAAGATATATATTGGAAAGATTGGGTGAAGAGTTTGGAATTGATATCAATTATGATCCAAAACCTATTTAAGGAGATTGGAATGGTACAGGAGCTCATTGCAATTTCTCAACAACAAAGACAAGAGAATAAGGTGGTTATGAATACATTAAAGAAATCATGTTACCTCTTTTGGAAAAGAATCACTAAAAAATGATGTTGTTGTATGGTTTAAACAATGAAGCAAGATTGACAGGGAAACATGAGACAGGAGAATATAATTAATTCTCTTGGGGAGATGGATCAAGGGGATGTTCTATTAGAGTACCCATAATTACAAAAGAATTAGGCAAAGGGTATTATATATTTGTGTAATAATAGATATTTGGAAGATAGAAGACCTGCAGCCAATATGGATCCATATCTTGTATGTAGTGCTTTGGTTGATACAACATGTATGAATGGGAAGAATCTTATGTCTCTTATTGAATAATTTGCTGAATCATTAAAGTAATTATGAAAAAACTAGTTATTTCATATAATTATGAAAAAATTTTTGTTTTTTGACAAAGACCTGAATTGAATTTCTGCACATTCAATTATATCTTTGCTGAGTACTTCCATTCTATATCTAGATATATTTGCTACTTGAAGAGAAAACACGGAAACGATTACAATGAGATGAACTCTAAAATGGAACAATTAGGAGTTTCGGTTGGAATCCGACTTTACGAACTAGTAAGTCTTAGAGAAAGAAATAAAAGTGAAACAAAATTAGTTGAATAATTAAGGTTCATCTAAGGGATTGTATAATGAATAAAAAACTTTTCGTAGTTTTGGAAACATCTCTTTGGTAGACAAGCAGAATCGATTGAAAGATTGAAGGATAGACCTAATGATTATCTTATTAGAGATGAGAATCCATTGCTTCTCAAATATATATCTGAAGAAGGACATATATCCCCTGCATAATTTATGTGTGGGATTCTGAAAGTATTCTTTATTTACTATAATTAAGGGAGTCTTGAATGCATCTGGATTCACATGTCAAGTCTCTTATTAATTTAAGACTGATGAACGAGGTGTCAGCTATTATCCACATACTGTATTTATCTTAAGTTTCGAAGATGCCAGAGATTTATGAATTTTATATATTAAATGATGTAAATTAAATTCATCATCGAAGCAAAATTACTTCACAATTATTTTTTATACCTTATTGAGCCAAAGATAAATATGGGCTCAAAAATTTCATGTTGAATTATAATGTAAAATTAAAATTTATACCTGTCTTTTCCTTAACTTTTCTCTCCAAATCTTGAACTGTTGCTGTAGGAGCTATTTCAATTTGGATCATATTCATTCCATCTCTAACTTTGACAATAATCAAATTTAAACCTTAAGTGATCTTCAATTTGGTAACTGCTTATTTTTATCTTAAAATCAAATAACTGTTACTCAGAATATTTTGTTACTTGAAACTCTTATCAGGAAGTAATTGTATTTGATTGAACACAAGTTCAGTGGGATAATTGATTTTGTAAGCTATCTTCAACTCATCCATTAATTCAAAAACTTTTTAGTCTTAATCTACCTCCACTTAAATATCATTTCCTAGCACTGAAATAATCAGAAAAAATTAATCTGTTTATTTAACAACTACATCCAAAATTTCATTATCATTCAATCTACATTATTCTATAATCTCTTAAGGATTCAAATCCAATCCTTAACGTTGAATTTTTAAACCTTACTCTATATTGAATACATCCTTGCAATGTTCTATTATATCCTAGATTTTCATTTTTTTAGTCAATTCCAAATTTTAAATTGAATTCATGTATTGAAGTTAAATTTTAATTTTTTAGTTATTTTATTATTAAGTAAAGATTTATTATTAATTAGGAATTNGACAAAGACCTGAATTGAATTTCTGCACATTCAATTATATCTTTGCTGAGTACTTCCATTCTATATCTAGATATATTTGCTACTTGAAGAGAAAACACGGAAACGATTACAATGAGATGAACTCTAAAATGGAACAATTAGGAGTTTCGGTTGGAATCCGACTTTACGAACTAGTAAGTCTTAGAGAAAGAAATAAAAGTGAAACAAAATTAGTTGAATAATTAAGGTTCATCTAAGGGATTGTATAATGAATAAAAAACTTTTCGTAGTTTTGGAAACATCTCTTTGGTAGACAAGCAGAATCGATTGAAAGATTGAAGGATAGACCTAATGATTATCTTATTAGAGATGAGAATCCATTGCTTCTCAAATATATATCTGAAGAAGGACATATATCCCCTGCATAATTTATGTGTGGGATTCTGAAAGTATTCTTTATTTACTATAATTAAGGGAGTCTTGAATGCATCTGGATTCACATGTCAAGTCTCTTATTAATTTAAGACTGATGAACGAGGTGTCAGCTATTATCCACATACTGTATTTATCTTAAGTTTCGAAGATGCCAGAGATTTATGAATTTTATATATTAAATGATGTAAATTAAATTCATCATCGAAGCAAAATTACTTCACAATTATTGTTTATACCTTATTGAGCCAAAGATAAATATGGGCTCAAAAATTTCATGTTGAATTATAATGTAAAATTAAAATTTATACCTGTCTTTTCCTTAACTTTTCTCTCCAAATCTTGAACTGTTGCTGTAGGAGCTATTTCAATTTGGATCATATTCATTCCATCTCTAACTTTGACAATAATCAAATTTAAACCTTAAGTGATCTTCAATTTGGTAACTGCTTATTTTTATCTTAAAATCAAATAACTGTTACTCAGAATATTTTGTTACTTGAAACTCTTATCAGGAAGTAATTGTATTTGATTGAACACAAGTTCAGTGGGATAATTGATTTTGTAAGCTATCTTCAACTCATCCATTAATTCAAAAACTTTTTAGTCTTAATCTACCTCCACTTAAATATCATTTCCTAGCACTGAAATAATCAGAAAAAATTAATCTGTTTATTTAACAACTACATCCAAAATTTCATTATCATTCAATCTACATTATTCTATAATCTCTTAAGGATTCAAATCCAATCCTTAACGTTGAATTTTTAAACCTTACTCTATATTGAATACATCCTTGCAATGTTCTATTATATCCTAGATTTTCATTTTTTTAGTCAATTCCAAATTTTAAATTGAATTCATGTATTGAAGTTAAATTTTAATTTTTTAGTTATTTTATTATTAAGTAAAGATTTATTATTAATTAGGAATTCCCCCCATTTAGGGTTAATTAAAGATTTATTATTAATTAGGCATTCCACCAATTTAGGGTTAATTAAAGATTTATTATTAAAAAGGCATTCCACTCATTTAGGTTTAATTAAAGATTTATTATTAAAAAGGCATTCCAACCATTTACTATTGTTAGGGTTTTTAAAATTGTGTAGATAGTCTTCCATATTATTATTATTGAAATTGCGGTTTTCCATTGGGTAAAAATTATGTTGGATATCCCTCAAAATTATTTAACTAATTAAGACTATTATTCAATCCTTATTAAAATTGTTATTATAAATTTTTCTAACCTCCCGACAATGTATTCTATTGTGGTGGAGGTACTGAAGCAAAATTCATAGGCTAACTAAACGGAAACTGATTTGATTATGGAATAAATTATTAATTCGCAGGAGGAGGTAATGAGTATGAAGTACCATAAAAATTTTATTATTATGAGGGAGGTATTTTCTAAAATTAATTTTATTAAGTTTAATTCAATTGATTTATTTAAGGCAATTCTTAGAGTTCAATAATACCTCCATTTTTTATATTTTACGCCTTCAAAGTCTTATCTAAGATCAAAGGAGTTTTTCCTTCAATAATTGCATTGAATGGAGTTGGTATTTTAGTATGTTGCTAAATAGCATCCATCAATTCACTTCCTAATGAATCAGAAGAAACCTCAAACTGGTATTTACAATTCTAATAATTCATAATCAAAGTGTAATTCTCTTCAAATTATTATTGTTATGGTTTCTGGTTGAAAACTGGATATAAAGTGTTTCCTTTTTCAACTTTCTAAGCAGCCAAAGTTTACTCCTCATTTAGTATACATTTGTTTTCCAAACTTAATTAAAATTTTTCATTTAAATTGAAATTCTATTAAATACATAAAATCAAATCCTTAACTAATGTATCATTCACCAAACTTAAGCTATGATTCTACCCTTAGAAACTAAACATAATAATAATTTCTTATGCTTTAATAGCTTAATTTGTTTATAAACTAGGTTATTACTATGCATTATAATTAACATTTTGAATTGGTTTTAAAAATAAAATAGAATTTTGTTTGAAATTTTAATTCTCTAAAGTTAAGTTTGGTTGAAGAACTTATTAATTTTCAAGGTGCAAATTACATTATTCTTAGATTTAAAGGGCTTATCTAAATTCGTATATTAATTCATATACTAAAGTATTTGAATTTACTTCTAAGGGATATTGTTATCCTTCATAATCGATATTCACAATAAATGTTTTGATATTTAGAGGAGTTGAACTTTATTTAGTTTAAGGAGCAACTTATTAAATTTGAGGAACATTTTATGGAATTTGAGTTACAATTAATAGACTTCCCTTCTAAACATTCTAATTGGCTAAAGTGTCTAAAGGATTAAGAATTTATTTTCCCTCAAGACTAATTTATAAGGATCCTTAAATTGAGAAACTAAGCATGATTTGCTCTATCAACTCTGATACATTTATGTTATCTTCAACTTCTATTGGTGTTTTAGCCCCTTTATAATCTAAAATCACTTTGATAACTCTTCTAACTGGCAATTTTGGTTATTTATCCTATTATTAAACTACAGTTAAGATTGAGTTATCACAAAGTCCAGATTGCTTAACAGTTAAGCTTGGGTCTAAGATTTCTCCATTTACTTTTTACATCATCAATTGATTTTTCACATTGCATATTCCTTTTACATCTTCAATCAAACTCATAATTGTTGTATCTTAATTAACTTTAAAATCTAAAGTCTGATTGAATGCATTAATAATAAGATGTATTTTTTATTATTTCTATTAAAATTTGAGAATGGAATTATCTCTAATTTAATATTCTTACAGAGTTTTGCTTGAATCTAAAACCTACCCATTATAAAAAGTCACCAAATCTACATTTAAATGATGGTATTGATTTATTTAATCTTCTATATCTTTAATAGTAATTTCATCTTCTACTTCTATTGTAATTGGAGGCTAAGTTTCATAAGACAAACTTAATTGAATTTATTTTTTTGAAACAGAGGCTTGTTCAATTTTTTTGATCACCAATCTAGAACCTTTTACGATTTGCAATTATTGGAATGTTTCATTCGAATTCAACATTTTATCATTGTGGTATAACTTTATTTCATAATTAAGATTCAAATTTTGCTTAAGTGTACATTCAAGCTCCTACACCAAAGAATTACAAGGAACAGAAATATTTAAAGTTTATTATTCAAATAGAACTATCAAAACTATTTCTTAAATTTAAGATGCTGGTTAAGTAAGATTAGTTAAGACTTACTATATGTACAATTTAGAATTTTCTTAAACATTTTATTCTCTAAAAGTTTAATTTGGGTTTAAAACTTACCCATTTTCTAAAGTTAACTAGATTTATGAAATCTGTAAGAGTGCTTATAATTCAATTGCCAATTCATATACTTTAGTATCTGAATCTACTTCTACTGCTTAACCATTTAAAATAGCGTGAAAAATAATTAAAGTTAATTTTGATTGTATTGGCTATTATTATTATTGAATTTCCACTGAAAAGATAAAACCTTCTTTGATTTGTAAGGATTCTATTGTTTAATTGTTTGGCAAAATTTATTGATCAAGTTTTAAATTAATGTTTTCTTGAATTGAGTATATTTCTTTAACTATTTCTATGATTTCATGTATGTAAGTATCTGAAGTCACTTCAATTTAATTCTTTTAACCACGATATTCTAAAATAATCATTATATTTTATTATGTGTTAGGTTATTATTATGATTATTATTATTATTATTATTACTATTATTATTATTTTTGAATTTTCACTGACAAGATAAAACCTTCTTTGATTTGTAAGGATTCTATTGTTTAATTCTCAGGCAAAATTAATTGTTTATGCTTTAAATTTATTTTTTCTTGAATTGAGTATATTTCTTTAACTATTTCTATGATTTCATGAATGTAAGTATCTGAAGTCACTTCAATTTCATACTTTTAATAACGATATTCTAAAATTATCATTATATTTTATTATGTGGGGGATTATTATTATTATTATTACTATTACTATTATTATTATTTTTGAATTTCCACTGACAAGATAAACCCTTCTTTGATTTGTAAGGATTCTATTGTTTAATTCTCAGGCAAAATTTATTGTTTATGCTTTAAATTTATGTTTTCTTCAAATGAGTATATTTCTTTAACTATTTCTATGATTTCATGTATGTAAGTATTTGAAGTCACTTCAATTTGATTCTTTTAACCACGATATTCTAGCATAATCATTGTCTATTATTATGGAATATTATTATTTTAATTATTATTACTATTTCTATTACTATTATTATTATTATTATTATTATTATTATTGTTATTGTTATTGTTATTGTTATTGTTATTTCTATCGATATTGTTATTGTTATTATTATTGTTATTATAATTATTGAATTTCAACTAATATAATTAACCTTTCTTGATTTAAAGGATTTAATTGATTGATAATGCCTTAAATTTATGTTTCATAAAATTGTGTATATTTTTGTAACTAATTTGGTAATACTAGATGAGTTTCGCCAAAGAAACTACTACATACAACTTATCATATTGAGTCCTTTAAATATTTAGAAAATAATTTTAAAATAAATTAGTTATTTTCACAACATAATCATAAAAGAAAATTATTGTTTTCTTTAAGGCTTGGAACTGCATCATATATATATCAATTAACAAAATTATTCAAAAAACTAGTAATAAATTTATCAATTAAAAATCAGTAAATTTTGATTAAAAGTGTACAACTTATGTAATAAATTAAAAAGTTTATGTCGATTGGTTAAATAACATTAAAATTAAATGTATAAACAAAGTTTTTGTTTTTGATTCTCCCTGTCAATTGTTGCGAATTGGAGCATTCTGAAAGAAGCTCTTACAAACAATAATTATTATACTCATCATCTAATTCTTTATCTATGAATCGACATTAAGACAAATAAAAATTACTTTAAAAAGATCAATCACAATTTTCCATATTTACCTGAAGAAATTATTCAAGAAAGAATTGACTCAAACAGAAAGAGCGATCGAAACAAAATTAATTTTCTTCATTTAGGGTTGTTATATTAAATAGTAATATTATTAAATAATGTATAAAAGAAATTTTTCTAGAATTAATTTTAATAA